TTTAGCCATTCTAAATAGTTTTATACCTTTCAAAACATTTTACATACAAAAAAACCATAGTTTTGACAATATAAAATAAGTAACCGAACCAGGCCTTGGTGGCACACGCCTTTAATCCCAGCACAAGGGAGGCAGAGGCAGGCAGGTCTACATAGTGAGCTCCAGGACAGGCTCCAAAGCTACACAGAGAAACCCTGTCTCAAACACACACACACACACACACACACACACACACACACACACACACACACACACACACACCAAAACAAAACAAAACAAAACAAAAGAACAACAATAAGAGGGGGGGGATGGCTTAGTGGTTTGGAATGCTTCCTTCTCTTGTAGAGGACCTGAGACCTGAGTTCAGGTCCCAACACCCACATCAAGCAGTTTACAGCCACCTGGAACTCCAGCCTCAATATGGACACTGTTTCCTGGCCTCCAAAGGCATCCTTGAATACACTGCACCACACATACACACACACACACACACACACACACACACACACACACACACACACACACACACACAAATAAATAAATGTAAAAAACGTAAATAAATTCAGTTCCATGAGGACAGGGTTTTGTCCTCTTCATCCATCTTGAATCCCCAGGGACTCGCATGTGAAGGGGAGGTCAGAATACTGAATACCATTAATACCTTGAGTGTTTTCTCTATCAAATTGAGAGAATGTTGCATCTGAAGAACTGACGTTGAACTGCGTGTAGTCACAGGACGAAGACGAGGCTCAAATCTGCAAGAAGCCACAGCTAGGGGCTGGAGAGATGGCCCCATGGTTGAGAGCACTGGCTGCTCTTGCAAAGGACCTGGATTTAGTTCCTACATGGTGACTCACAGCCAGCTTACCTCCAGTTCCAGGGGAATCCAATTTCCTCTTTTGGCTTCTGCAGGCACCAAGTACTAGTGTGATACACAAACATACATGCAGGCCAAACACTCATACATATATAATAACAATAAATCATAAAAGATGTGAGTCCAGTTGGTAGGATGCTGGCTTACCATGCACCAGGCATGGTGGATGCCGGGAAACTCGGAATTTGAGAGCTGGAATCAAGAGGATCAGACCTTCAAGGTCATCCTCAGCTTCAGGGAGAGTTGAAGACCAGGCTGGGCTGTGTGAGACCTTGTCTCGAAAACAGAGATCTGTAGAGATTCTGACCTGACGTGTAGCACAGACTTAAATGAGATCTTTTGTATAAAAGTCCTAAATATTTATTATATCCCTTCTTCACCTCCAACAGGTGACTCAAAAACTGGGCAATATAAACAAGAACTCACGGTGAGAAAACACAAGGTCTATTCTCACAAGAAAAGCTACTCAACAAATTGTTGAATTAACCTCAAAACATCATGACAGAAAACTACACCTCTTGTTTTGGTGGCCCTCTTTAGCTAATATCCATATTATGAGACTAAACTACAGGCCACTGTCATTCTTGTAGGTTGAAAACACTGGGCATTTGTGATCTCTGACATTAATACATTAGAAATCTGTCTTCTGGTAAATTCCTGACAGTTGAGAACATCTCTGTAACTCTGATTTCCTAGCCTGCTGACCCCCAACTATGAAGCAATTTCAAATCAGACCTGGTATGATACCTCTAAAATGCCCCTAACCTCGAGAGCCTTCCAACAATCCCTTCCCACCCGCTCCCTGCCCTGGTCCCTGCTTGCCAAATCCTTTACTGTGGTTTTCTGATGTGAGCTATTACCCACGAGAGTCCCAGAGCAGAGATGTGAACAGTCTCTCAGGGAGCTCCACCATAATTCCCAGAAGTGAAAACTCCGTCTGTGACCCACCAAACCCCTTTTTGTAGCTAATCAGCTAGCTAAATCCTCTCAAGTGAAAAGGAAAACACACACACACACACACACACACACACACACACACACACAGTTTTCTCATCTGTGACTCGCTGGGAGTGCCCACTCCTCACAACGGCAAAGCCTGTGTACTGGGCCTGAGTGATTTCTCACACTTCATCTGCTTCTGCTTCATCCCCGGCTGCCAAGTGAGTCCACTGGGCCCTGAACCCAGACGCTACACTTCCCACACTTCTTGCCTTTCGACGGTTTCCATTATTTATAGGCCCTCGAGCACGGGGGTTCCTCCCAAGTCCGGGTCAGGCTTTTCAGCCACCCCCATCCTCAGGAGCTAGATTTTTATAAGGGTGTGAAAGACTTCTGCCCTTGTCATACCATAATCAGGCTGCTCTTAAGAACAAAAATGGAGACGCCAGACCAGTAGCTTAGGAAATGGCCAAGCACTGACCGCAGGCATTGTAAACTGTAAAGCTCTACAGTGATCGACAGAGTGAAGACGCAGCCCACAGAATGGGAGGCAAATCACTCCCAGCTAGGCATCCGATGGGAGATTAATATCCAGAATAGATAAAGAACTCAAAAGTTGAGTTCTTGAAAGATGATTCAGTGGCTGAGGGCTCTGCGTGGGCCTGTATTCACATGCACACACGTGTGCAGTGCTCACACATGCAATTTAATTAACTCACATGCACACACGTGTACAGTGCCCACACACAATTCACAATTTAATTTTTTAAAAAGAACTCAGAAGTTTATGGTGGCAGGGGTGGAGGTAAGGTTAGTCATTTTTCTTTGGGGGCATGACATGGGATGACCCCAACCCATGCACATACAGGCAACTCTAATTAGACACAGTATGCTATTAAGAAAGAAAGACGTTAAAGGGGATATGCTGGAGAGGGTCTGGGGAGAGCTGAAGGGGAAATGAAAGATTCTTATGATCATAATACTTGTGTGAAACTCTCAGAGTAAATTTTAAAATAATAATAACTATAGGGATTGTTAAGAGTAGCCAGGTGGTACACACCGCTAATCCCAGCACTTAGGAGGCAGAGGCAGAGACCTCTGTGAGTTTGATGCCAGCCTGCTCTACACAGCAAGTTCTAGGATGGGATCCAAAACCCATCCTAGACAGAGAAACCCTGTCTCAAAAAAAAAAAAAAAAAAAATGCCACTGAGAATCCTTCACATGCCAGTCAGAGTTGCAATATTGAAGAAAACACACTAACGGAACAGGTGCTGCTAAGGACCAGGAGGGATCCAGGTACTGCTGTTAGGGATATAAATTAGCCTAGCTACTGTGGCAACCAACACAGAAGTCCCTCAAAAGATTAAAGATGAGCTACTATCTCATCCAGCCCTGCCCATGCTGGGCTATCCCTGAGGAGTGCAAGCCTTCCACAGGGATGCCTGCACAGCCATGTCTGTCTGTTGCGCTGTGTTCACAAGAGCCAAGCTGTGGAAACCCCAAGAAGAGTGAAGCCATGGAGTTTTCTGGATCATCATGTTCAGTGAGATGAGAGACCACCTTGTTCAGTGAAATGCGCAACTATGGGAAGGAAAATAAAACGGAATTGCAAATAGCTAGTCAGTACATGAAACAAATCAGTATCTTTGGTCTTCAGAAGATGCATATCAGTGTCCCACCATGACTCCATCTTGGAGTGCCAATGGATCAGTTGTTTAGGTCAGCATACTTATAGGAGATCCCACCTCACCAAATCAGATAGGTGGTCACCTTCAGAAAAGCCCAAACCAATGAACGCTGGTGAACATGCGGAGGATGGAAAGGAAACTTAAACATCCACTGGGGAAGTCAGACGCTGGGCACTGAATCTCCGCCTGCTTAGTGTCAACCTGACTGAGCTCAGCAGTTACCAGGTCTATCAGTTTCTTTGTGCTCCACTGAGACTGAACGCCTGACAAAATAAACTTAAAGAAGGAAGAGGTTTGGGGGCTTATGTCCTGTGGGTGTGGCCCACCATGGTGGCAGGAGCATCTTCAATCACGTCACTGTCATTCTGTATTCTCAGGCTTCCCCCCTCCCCCCCCCCAGAGTTTACGTGGGAACACACACCCCGGCTGGCTCCTCCCTCCTAGTGAGTCCCCTTCTGCTGTGTCCCATTCCCTGCCTCTTCCCACCAGCACTGGGCCTCTTCTCCATCCTGATGACCTCCCCTCTCAGAGCCTCATCCTTAAAGATAGTCAACTTTATCTTCCTCACTCCAGTGTGTTAGTTCTGGGCTCCATGCTGTGGCCTGGTGACAGTCTGAGAACGGGATAGGGCTCTTTCCCGACACTTTTCCCCATCTGCTAATACGGTAGTTACTTGGTTCTGGCCACGTCACAGGTGTCATACACAAACAAGAACTGGAAGTGACTCTCCCTGTAGTGGGGGTGGGTGCTTATTAATGGTTAAAGTCTTGGCTCCTTTGTCCTGGGGTCTGAACCTAGGGTCTTCCAGGTCTGAGGTGAGCGTTCTCTCCATCCTTCTGGTTGGTGTTTGCTTGTTACCTTTGACTTTAAGACAGCCTGGCCTTGAATTCACGCTGTGGCCCAGGCAGGCCTTGAACTTGCTTTCCTCCTCCCTAAGCCCCTTGAGCGGCTAATATTACAGGCCTGCACTACCAAAGGCAGCTTGAGTGGCCGTATTTAGATAGAGATCCAATTCTTATCTGTCTCCTTTCTAACTTCAGGCACCAAGACCCTTCCTCCACCTTTGACAGTACCCTCCTCCAGTCCAGGAGACTCTCAGCGCAGTGGATACCCGGCATCTCTGGCACGAAGACACAACCTTTAGTCACAGCATGAACATCAGTTCTCACTGCCAACAGCTGGAAATGTGAGGAGAGACTGCAAAGCTGCCCAAAGTTAGGAATACAAGTATCTGTTATTCTGTCTTCATCTGTAAGGCATTCCGGGGCCAACAGGACCACCGGGCTGACTAGAAGGTCAGAACAAACAGATGAGTGCAAACACAGACCTGTAGCCACCAGCAAGACACCGGCCCTGGCAGAGTCCCAAGCAGAGAACAACAGGGTATTAACAATTACCCTAAAGTTCTGAGAAATTCGCTAATTCTCCCAGTCTGGGAAGCAGTAACATGGGGAGATGAGGGAAGCTAAAGGGTTAAAAACCTGTACCCTGCCTGGTGCTGGCTTCTGCAGCACTCACACTACAAATAGGACGATACACAGAAGATCAGCGTGGCCCCTGTGCAAGGGTGATACGCAAATTCGTGAAGCGTTCCTTATTTTAAAAAACAACACAAAGCCTGTAAGCCTGTACCTTCGCTTTCAGGAACTCGGGGTTTCCCTGTTCCAAACCTGTCCCGTAAACATCCTAACTGCCCTCCTAATCAGGAGCTCTGGAATCAAGTCCCTGGAGGAGAGTCAACTCTTGTCCCCCTAATGCTGCATCTTTACATTTTCAAAATCTGAATCAAAGGTGGAATGGAAAGTAATTCCACTTTTTTTTTGGTGCAATTAAGAGTGTAATGCATGCTGTGGCCTGCAGCCCTTGCAAAGGCTCTGAGTTTCATCTGCTCATTTTTAAGTGGTTTAATTTTGCCTCTGATTGCCAGGTGCTAAAATATGAACCTTCACACTTGTGAGTCACCCAATTTAACCACGCTGTGGCTCTACCCTCAGAGAGTTTCCTAGGTGTGAACCCAACTGTGCCCTGGACCCACAAAAACATTTTAGTCAAGATTTCCAGGGTGAATTCTAGCCCACCCTTGTCAAAACCACATGGGCTCCCACCTCGCCTCCTAGCAGCGGACCCCGAGTTTGCCTCTGATCCTGCTGCTCTGAGTTGACTGTGAGAACTCAGGCAAGTGACTTCGCCTTCCTGAGCCTCAGTTTCCTTCTTAGTGACGCTTAAGTCGAAATCAAACGGTGTGCAGTGCCTGGCAATGACTAGGCACTCTGCCCCCATCAGAGAGCTTACAATATTAATTAGGAAAACAAAGTGTCAGAGGTCACCCAAGCATATGAAATAAACAACCAATGAGATACGGCTTTAGTTCTAGGAAGTGGGGCTACCACATCTCATTCATCTAACTTACCATCATTGTGTATGTGTGTGTGTGTGTGTGTGTGTGTGTAGGCCAGAGGACAGCCTCTTGTGTCTTTCCTTAGGAATACTGTCTACCTATTTTGAGGCAGGATTCCCCACTTACCCTGGAACTTGCCAGTTCAGCTGGACTAGCTGTCCCGGTAACCCCAGACACCTGCCTGTCTCCTCCCTGGTGCGGGGGGGGGGGGGGGAGCAAGTGCATGCCGCCACACCTGGATTTCGCCTAGGTTCTGGGAGTAAAACTTAGGTCCTTGTGCTTGGATGGCAAGAGCTTTCCTGGCCGCACTGTCTTCACCCTCTGGGATGCCATCTTTTGTGGACACATTCTCAACTCCAGAGATGCAAAATTTGAAGGAAAACATGGATGCTGTAGACATGAAAGTATGGGAGCAGCAACTGGGAGAGGCAGTGGCCTGCAGACAGGCTCCAGGGGAACAGGAAAGTGGACACAAACCCGCTCTTACCTCTCCCTGTTATGTTTTCTTTATTCCAGTCACTTATTTATGTGGCCACACGTGTGGAGGTCAGAAGACAACTTTTAGGAGTTGTCTTCCTCCCAGGGTATGGAAGGTATAGAAGCCAGGGGCCTAACTCCTTCATGCTTAGCAGCCTTTATCCTCTAATGCTCTCTCCTCCTCCTCCTCACCATCATCATCACCATCATCATCATCACCATCATCATCACCATCATCATCATCACCATCATCATCATCATCACCATCATCACCATCACCATCACCACCACCATCATCATCATCACCCTTCCCTTCTTTGCTTGGTGTTCTCAGTATCATTTTCTAAGCATCCTTTAGCTATTGTGGGACAAGGTAGAAGGCAGATTTCTGGGTGGAGCAGTGACCTAGCTCATCAAGCCAGTTTCAGTCCTGATCACACCAGGAGCAACCCATCAGACTAAAAAGGCAGTGTCCTGGGCTACAATGTAATATCATGTGTGGGTTCATACACTGAGGGGAAAGAACTCACAGCTAAATGTCCTGCTTGACTTAGTTCCCTCCTGATAGACTTGTTTGTGGGCAGAAGCAGAAAGCTGATAAACTCTTCTTGACCCATCTCTCCTTTCCCTTTATTCAACATGACTAACAGTCACTGGCAGGGACACCATGACAGCCATGTTCATTGTACACACCTGGATGCGGTATTGGTCCTCCCACTCGACCACACCTTAGCACCCTGTGTTGTAAATATTCATTTACAGAAGTCTTTCTGCGTCTCAACCCAGAGATACCAAATGTCCTTAGAGTTTCAGAAACACCATAGTCGAGTACTTTTATTTTTAAGATGGAAGACTAGATCATAAGAGCTTAATGGCAAATGACCAGGGTCTAAACCAGTGACTGATACACTGCGAAGGCCAAACAAGTGTTTATAAAATACATGCATGAGACCAGGCAAGCTAGAGAAGAAGGAAAAGATGCAAGCAACTTGACTGTCAAACAGCCATGCAGAATTTTTCACAATAGAAACTCTGAGGAACTTGGACGCTCTTCCTTTCACAGAGACATCAGTGACTACAAGTGCTTTAACCTTCAGCTCTGGTGTTTGTAACTTAGGTGCACTCGCTCCTTTTGAGTCTTCTCCAAAGAATGAAGTTTTGAATATGGATTCCTTAGTAAGTAGTAATGGTGGGAGGCAAGAATAAAGATGGATGGATGGATGATGGATAGATGATGGATGGATGATGGAATGATGGATGAATTGATGAATGGATGATAGATGGGTGATGGATGGCTTGGTTAATACCTAGAAGATGCATGTCAGCCTAGTGTTCTAGTACTGTGGTATTCCTTTCACAAGTCTAGACTGAATTCCACTGTCCATGCCTCTGTATTATCTGACCTATACATGAGAATGTTTGCCAGAGCAGAGAAGACTACTATACAGTCTTGTGTTGTTCAAGTAGCCAGAAACAAGTCTAGCACTGGAACTTGGGGCCAGGCAGAGTGTGCTGATAGACTTCTCATGGAGGGGGAAAGTTACCCTGTGCCAAGAGTGACACAGATAGGGACTTTAGATGATAACAGACTTCCCTAGATAAAATGGGACTGGGGCCAAAAGCATCAGAGCTGACAACAATGTGCACCATAATCCTAACCTAACCTGTGTCCCAGCCGCTGGGATACTTGATTGTAGTCAGATGTGTGGAGCTTAGCTGGTATTGGCTAAGCTATATCAGCCAGGCATTTAATCAAATGCCAGTCTACATGTGCTGATGTGAATGTATTCTTTACATATGGTTAGCTGTTACTATCTATTGACTTTATCCAGGGGACTGACCTTTAATTAAGCAACTAGACCTCATCTGATCCACTGAAGGAATAAGAGAAAAACCTGGAAAAGAAGAAATGCATCTCAGTACTACGGAGGCAGCTCTTGAGTTTCAAGCCTGTTGATCTGCCATACAGACTTCAAACTGACCACACAGCAGGGTGTGTTGGTGGTGTGTGTAGTGGTGAGACACATCACAACACATGAGCCAGTTTCCTAAAGTAAGTCTCTAAATAAGCAAGAGCACCTGTGAATGCACGCGCGCGCGCACACACACACACACACATACACACACACATACACACACACACACATACACACACACACACACACCATCTCCTACTGGAGGTTTCTCTGGAGAAAGTTGATTGCTGTGGGAAAATACATGTAATTAAAGGCAGTGTGCCATAAATAACAGTTTTTGGCAGTCACCACATCTGTAAGTGTCTAGTGTGTGTCACACAGAATAGTTTCAGCTCAGTATGTGTGCAAAGTAGAGAAAGGAGCCGGAAGAGCTGCCAGGGGCTGTGGTTACAGACCGCTCTTCTCTTGAAGGTCTAGCAGAGACTAAGCTGCATAGTGCTGGCGCCACTGGCCCCTGCTGTTGTATTGGTTTACGCTGGAAGTTCAGCTTCACCAAGTTAGCAGAAATCTAACTTGGCGTGTGGGAATTTTTGCTTAGTCACAGCCAATCATAATGGTCCCCTCCCGTCCCTTCACTCGCTATGCAAACACACACGTGAAGACGATCATCTCTCTCATGCTTGCCCAACTCAGAGTCTGGCTAAGTTTAATGCAACTCATTTCTGATTTGCAAGACTGAAGCAGCCAAGAGCACGTGGTTGCCTTCGAGACTTCTAAGGCGGGACCTGCTTGAACCCTCGGGGTCCTGGTAAGGCGAACTACCTCAGGAGGATGCCTGTAAAGCTCAGACTGGGTGCACCATGGCATGAGCGAGCACCCCTCACACAGAATAGGTAAATAAAAATTTTAATTATTAGTGCATTTTAGGAATCACTTCTTTTGTTAGACCTTTGCATGTTCTACCATGTTGGGCAGTAAAACACATGAAATATGAGATTTACCATTTTAATCTTTTTAAATTTAATTGTTAAATGTTTTGAGAGCTTAGTACATGACTACTGTATACCACTCCAGCTCCTCCCTCTCCCCTCCCCATTCCAGCTCCACCCATGTGTACCCGATCCCCCCCCAAGTTAATAACTTCTTTAATTATTACTGCTACACATACACATGCAGATTGTGTGTGTGTTATGTACGTATGTATGTATGTATGCATGTATGTATATGTGTATGTATGTATGTACACATGCATGTATGTATTACACAACTGACTGAGTCCATTTAGTGTTTCTCATGTACATGTGTGTTTAGGACTGGCCACTTGGGGTTTGGATAACCTCTCAGGGGCTTAGTTCCCAGAGAAGACAGATTTTCCCTCTTCAGTGGCCATTCGTTGCCTATAGCTCTTCATCTAGGAGTGGGGTACCATGAATTAGCCCATACACATTGACATGTCAAAACTTGGGGGATTTTATAGACTCAGTTTCCTTGTCACTTATAGAAGACACTATCTTTTGTCAGGCACCCCGGTGTGACTCTTAGAATTGTCTCACTCTCCCTGACTCACTAAGCCTTAGGTGTAGGGGTTGATGCACCAGTTGGGAATGGGCACAACAAGGTCTATCATGGCCTTCATCTCCTGCAAAAAGAGCTTCCTTGATAAGGAGTGAGAGCTTCATTAATCTGTGGATGTAATAATAAGTAACCAGCACTCAGGAGGCAGAGGCAGGTGGGTCCCTGTGAGTTCAAGGCCAGCCTGGTCTACAGAGAGTTCCAGGACAGCCAGAGCTACACAGAGAATCCCTGTCTTG